CGGGTGAGTTCATTTCTCTTCTTCTTCTTCTCTCTGATCTCCGATATATTTCTCTAATAATTAAAAATAATTCCCTTCTCGTTTTCGATCGATTCTATGTCAAAGAAACGAGAAGAAAGAAATTCGATTTGTTTTCGTTGGATTGCAATTTCTCAAGTAAAAGATAAAGAAATATTTCTTCAAGTTATTTCTTGAATTCTTCGCTTATATATCTTTTCATAAATCGAATATCATTGTTGTGTTTACGAAATTAACAATTTATAGAGAATCTTCGTAATCTCAACGAAACTGAGAAATCTTTCTAATTCCAGGATACATAAATATCTTTTAACCGTGTAATGTGAAAATTTTTCACGTATAGTATCGTTAAAATTGCAATTTTCATAGGAAAAAAAATCGTATTTCGAACGATTTCAACGATAAAAGATTAAAGTTCATCGTCATATATATATATGTACGTGTCTGGTTGATATACAATTAAAACGCGCGGCGCACAAAATCGGTCGAGTTAAAATCCATTATCAGAAGGGGGTCGGTTAATACTTGACCGTTTAACGCACCGCTCGCGTTAATACGACCCCTATCGGCATTAATCTGCTCGTAACTTTCGCCATACGTCGAGGCCTGGCATCGAGGAATGCGGCGTGTCTACAATGGGGGTTTGATAAATCGTAATGAACGCGTGCTTTACATGAAAATTCATGACGCGTTACGCCACTTATTTCTTTATTGCGACACCGCCACCTTGCTTTTTCGCTCTTCTCCGAATCCCCTTACGTCCAACGAAACAAAAATGGCCAACGAATTTCAATGCCCCAAGGAACGCATGTATATACGAGCAAGTTTTTCTCCCCTTTTTGAACTTTCCTCCTCCCGATCGATAAAAATAAATTTCGAACGTGCACGCGTGTACATGTGATGTTCACTCTGATCGATGATGATTCACGATTCGTAATAAAAATTCGGTGGATTCGTGTCGTCCCTTTTCTTTCTCGGCGAGAAGAACAGTGCCGTGTTCGCTTTTCTCCTCCGAAGCGATTTCTTATAGGGTGTCTCGGGCGGAATTATCTTGCTGCTCGACACGTTCCTCGCTTCTTTTTTGCGCCGCGTATTTTTAACAGTGATAAAGTATGGTAATAAGAATGTGGCAAAGAAACTTCTTGCATCTTACTTATCTTTTAATAATTAGACATTGCTATATACTCGTAGAGCGAAAATATTCTTTCCGTTTCTTTTTACTGTACAGGTCTTACATTCGAAGAGAAGAAAGCTTCACGAAATTAATGATTAATTTTTATTATTTACCAATATTGCAACGTCCATCTCGAATTGTTAATTCTTCTCTCAAAGAAATTTCGAAGCTCGACACTTAATTCCATCTAAAGAAGAACGGATCGAATTAAAAAAAGGAGATCTGGAAAGGGGAGAAAAATAATAAGATCGGTGTGTTTACGGAAAAAATTGGGGGGGGTAAAACTATAACGATTCGCGAGGGAAACATATATATATATATATATTCGTTTGTGCCTCGTGCCACGCTCCCAACAGCCTCTCTCTGAAACTCGTCAATTGGCCGTTTTACGAAGCTGCTCCGCCGTGTTCCGTGTGATTTATAGCCGCGAGATGGCCCGATTTCTGGTATACATCCTAGAACGGGAGCCTCATTATTTCGTGCACCCTGTAATTTGTCCACTCGTCGTGTGCCCCGACCCCTCGACCACCCCCCCTCCTCTTATCCCCCGTCGGATTCCTGCGCTTTCTCGGAACGGTTCGCCTCGGCGGCCCGTTACGAGGCGGCGTTTAAACCCCCTTCTCCTTAAACCCGCCCGTTCATTTCCTTGGCCTTCGTTGATAAACCCGTTGTTTGAAAACCGATCGTGCACCGGCCGATTGAGCCGTCCAATCGTGAAATCGCGAGCCAGTTTTCAGTCTCCTCGTCCTCCACTGCGTTTCTCCGTTGCTCCACTCTGCGTGGAAAATTGTCCACAACTTATCCGCTCATTTCTTGGCGAGAAACGGCGATTTGAGGGATATTGGGGATATGTGAGTTCAAAAAATTTATGTATCGATAGAGTATATAGGGATTGAGTTTTACGAGTGAATGATCGATGCGAATCTGTTATCAATTTCTAGAGTTTCCGTAAAAGAATTGTATAACGCAATGAATACAACATTGGTTCTGTACATAAACGTGAAATAAATATTATTTTAGGCGGGAAATTTATAAACCTTCGACATTTATATTTCTAAATATAAATGACTGCAATTAATTAAAAATATAAAAACCTTTCGAAACTCGTAATAGATCCTTTTTTCCATGTTTAATTACGGGACTCCTATACTTTCCACGGTTAAAAATAAGAAATACAAATACCGATTATCTTTTCGCACGAGAGAGAGAGACAGTCCACTTACCTTTGCCATTTTCTAATTGACTCGATCCGATCGTTATCGCGGACAGATCGATTGCGAATAGACGCTCGTAAGAAAAATTTTCGAACGATGATTCTTGCCACGGTTCTTCAGTGAGCCACGAAAGAGTTTTACGTAAGCTTGGCAGAGAGAGAAAGAGAGAGAGAGAGATATATAACGTACAGGCGAATCTGCCAATCACTGCTCGGAGCTCAGATCCTTATGCAAGGAGGATGATTGGCCGAGTCATTTATGGATTAGACGTCTTGCGCAAATCTCTCTTTCTCTCTCTCTCTCTTGAACGAGAATTAAAATGAGGGGGAAAGGGAGAGGTAACACACGTTTCGCGTGTTCCTGTGATCTTGTGGCCAGCAGGAAATGGTCAAACGATTTCGTACGCTCTCCTCTGTTTAATATCCCATTTTTCTGATTGACGATAATTAGTGCATTAGAGTGACGTTTCAGCAGATGAGCGGCTAATGAATATTAATGCACCGTTTAATGGAATTGATTGGTGAGCGCCAGTCTCTCTGATTACATCACACGCGTTGTAATTGCACGGAAACCCTGCGGAGGAACAGGGATATTCCGTTCTTTCGCTCAACGTGTCCACGAAGGGGAACGATTAAAACGGTCGAAGCTACTTTTCAACTCGGTTCGTTCGAAATTTATCCCTTTTTTCTTTTTATTCTTCCTTGACACGCGGATGATCGTCTTCCCTCTCGATTTCTCAATATCTTTTATTTTTTTTCTTTTTTGACTCGAGTCGAACGCCAGTTCGAGTCACGAATCCGCGAGGACCGCGTCTTTAAAGGGGAGGACAGTTGAAGGACCACCTATGGAGATTTCGATGAACCGTATCGCGGTTTCCGCTTGCTTATTATCGACGTCACACGTTCCCCGCTGTTTTTTTATTTAAACGGCGATAAAATCGGCGCGCAAAACCGATACGCAAGCGGGTTCGCTTTCACCAACGACGCCTCGAGTTTCGAGGGTTGCGTTTAAATGTTTTACTAAGAGAGAGAGAAAAAAAGAGTGTCATCCTTCTCGAGATAAAAATAGAACAAAAATACCTCGCTCTTAGATGCTACCGTGTTAGCGCGTATTCATTCAGAACGAACTCTAACTCTTAAACGAAGAGAGCTCGACTTATCGCAAAATCGCCGCAATCTTCCATTTACGCCCAATTAACACCGCCATTCGCCACGGTCAATAATAACCGCCAATCGTCCTCTCCTTTTCGAGGACCACGTGCTCGAAACGAGAGCCAGGGGAAAAAGATGAGACCACCGTACAAAAACCGATGATGTCGACGAATCCGGAATCACCACCGCGCCTTCGAACTGATGGTGGTGGTAGTGGTGGAAGTTAAACTGGTCGAATCACAGCGTGAAATTGCCGATGGCGGCGTGTGTATATAAAAAAAAGAGAGAGAGAGAGAGAAAAGAAAAGAAGAAAAAAAGAGGAAAGAAGAAGGGCCGGGTCGGTTAAGGGCAAATAGGAGGGCCCCTCCACGGGGCCGGGAATCGAGGGCGGAAACCGCAAAACCGCAAACATCCTCCGCGTCCACCGGACAATCATATCATTACCCTCTGCGGTCCCGTCATTCCGACACCTCGTTTCGACCCGTCATTTGTCATCGACGTTGCACTTTGCCGTTGCACCGCGCACCCGCTTAAGAACCGCCGTTGCACCACCCCGCCATTCATATGGCTC